CCAGGAGTTAAATTTAAAGTATTTGGTAGAATGAGGAGATATGGTAAGAAGTTTTTCATATTTGGATATAATTGACTATGAATCAGTGTAGATTTGCAAGCTAGAGTTACGTAAAATTGTAGAGATAACAGATAATATTGCTAGTAGTTCAGCTTTATAAAAAAAGGGCCAATTAGAATTTTGGGCTAAAAAATTCTGTATGACTAGATTGTTGTGAATTTGGACCTAGCAATACCCATAGAACATTAGTTGGTACCAAGTTGTTTAACAAATCTATCTGTATAGAAAGTAAATTGATGTTGGGATGAGTTAGCTAATGTGATTTGGGTGAGTTTAAGAGAGGCTTCATTGTTATAGAAGATGCTAAATATAGGGGAGTCAATAATATTAATTAAAGGTGGTGGTGGCATTTCTAGAGAATGTTTAATATTAGTAGAGTAAATAAGGTCAATATAGTTTGCATTAAGATTAAGTTGTAATATTATTATTTAATTAAGGGAATTGTTATTCGTACTCTCTATTTTTGTTATTCATACCCCATGTAAATCAAAAATTTTTAAACTTTGAGCGATAGTTTCTTGACACCTACCAAGCCAAATTCAATGAATTCTTTTTTATTTAAATTCTATGGATTCATAGAATTCAAATAAAAAAAAATTTATCGAATTTGGCTTGGTGGGTGTCAAAATACTATCACTCAAAGTTTTAAAAAAACTTAAACCATATATCAAAACAAAAGCTGTGCCAAAATTTTTCTTAAACATTGCACGAAGATATCTCAAAAACCATTAAGTCGAATTCAATGAATTTTTTTATTTGAATTTTACGAATCTATAAAATTCAAATAAAAAAAATTCATCAAATTTGGCTTGGTGGATGTCAATATACCATTACTCAAAGTTGTAAAAAAACTCAAAAACATATATCAAAACAAAAGCTGTGCCAAATTTTTCTCAAACTTTGTGCGAAGATATCTTGATAATCATCAAGTCAAATTTGATAATTTTTTTTTATTTGAATTCAATGGATTCGTAGAATTCAAATAAAAAAAATTCATCAAATTTGACTTGATGGTTATCGAGATATCTTCGCACAAAGTTTGAGAAAACTTTTGGCGCAGCTTTTGTTTTGATATTCGTTTTGAGTTTTTTTAAAACTTTGAACAATGGTATCTTGACACTCACCAGGCCAAATTTGATAAAAATTTTTTATTTGAATTCTACGAATCCATAGAATTCAAATAAAAAAAAATTTATCAAATTTGGCTTGGTGGGTGTCAAGATACTATCGCTCAAAGTTTGAGAAAATTTGACACAGCCTTTGTTTTGATATATGGTTTGAATTTTTTTAAAACTTTGAACGATGGTATCCTGACACCCACCAAGCCAAATTCGATGAATTTTTTTTTATTTGAATTCTACGAATCCATAGAATTCAAATAAAAAAGAATTCATCAAATTTGGCTTGGTGGGTGTCAAGATACCATCACTCAAAGTTTAAAAAATTTTGATCTACATGGAGGATATGAATAACAATTCCCTTAATTAATTATATATAGTATAAAAGTATTATTATTTAATTAATTATATATAGTCTAAAAATATTATTATTTAATAATTAATTGTATATAGTCTAAAAGTATTATTAATTGTATATAAAATAAAAAATTAAAAACTTAAATTCTATATAATTTAAATCTAAAAAAAAATTAAAAACTTAAATTCTATATAATTTAAATCTAAAACTAATTTAATTTTGGTTTAAGAATTAAAAAAAATTAAAAACTTATATTCAAAACAATGTTAGATTATAAAAATTAATATTGTTAAGATCTAAGAATTAGCAAAAAATAAAATTTCAAACCTAAACAATAACTGAGTTCTAAAAGCTAATATATAAATCTAAGAATTAGTAAAAATTAAAACTTAAACTCAGACAATAACTAGATTCTAAAAGCTAATATCATTGAGGCCTAAGAATTAGCAAAAAATTAAAAACTTGAACCCAGAACAATACCCAAATCCTAAAAATTAAAATTAAAAATATGCAGAAAATTAGAAACTTAGCCCTAGTTAACAACTGGGTCTTAAAAGCTAATAATATTGAGGTCTAATAATTAGCAAAAAATTAGAAACTCGAACCTTGGCAACAACACAGTTCTAAGAACTAATAATATTAAGATCTAAGAATTAGCAAAAAATTAGAAACTCGAATCTGAGGCAACGTCTAGGTCTTAAAAACTAATAATGTTGAGGCCTATGAATTAGCAAAAAATTAGAAACTTAAATCCAAGGCAATGCTTAGGTCTTAAAACTAATAATATTGAGGTCTTAAAATTAGCAAAAAATTAGAAACTCGAATCTGAGACAATACCTGAGTCTTAAAACTAGTATTTAAATATTTATAGATAAGCATATCTTAAATCTAAAATTTGCTTATAAAATGTTGAGTGTTTAGACTAATAGGTTACAGAATTTCAACTCAAAGAATAACAGCTTTTATTATTATATTTTTAGTAATATTTTTGGTAATTTACTAATAAAAATTAAAACTTGTATTAAAAATAATTTTTTTTTAAAAAAATATAAAAATTTAAAAAATTTAAAAAATTTTACAATAAAAATTTTTAGGGTTTAATTTTCTAGTACATCTGCATTGCAGTGAACCCCTACTATATTTTAAATTTTTATTAAAGTAACTCTATTGTATAACTAATATAAAATAATCTTGTAATTTTACTCTAATATTAACTATAACAATTTAACTCTAACTCTAACTCTATTCCTAACTCTAATTATTATTAGAATACATTATTATAGAGATGCACTAAATTAAAAATTTCAAATTTTTAAAGTAAAAGTATTAAAATTTTATTATTATAAAAATTTGTAATAAATTTAAAAAAATTTATAATAAAATAAATATAGTATTTAATGTAGTAGTAATATTATTACAAGAAGCATAGCAACTTAATGTAGTAGTTTACTTTCCAAATAGCAGGTCTAAAGTTTGAATTCTATAAATGACAATTCTGAAAAATAGATTTGTGTTATAGTTAATAGCTATCAATTATCAGTTAGATCTAAAATCAAATTTGTAATCTTTGTCAAACTATCTAGTAATGAAAACTTTGGTATAATAAATCTAAAAAACTAGAATACTAAAATCTGTTTAGAAAGTTCTGAGTTTGAAAGTAGTAGTAATATTTAATAATATTACAAAAAGACTAAATTTGAAGTTAAAAACTGAGATTAGAGAACTAAGTAGCTAGGTTTTTTAGTAAGGAAACATATTAGCTAAACTGCTAAATACTAGATATACTAGAAAAAAAGTATATATACTTTAAGAGTATATACCAAATTGAGGGAACTATGAGGTATTTAAAGCCTAAGCAGACTAATCTTTCTGGGTTGCTAGCTAGAAATAAAAAAAGAACTGATAAAGAATTCAGAAAAAAAAAAGTCTAAATATAGATAGCAAGATAGTTATAAACTTTACAAAAACAAGAAGTACATAATAGGTAACTAATTAGAAATATTGGTATTTGAGATATGACTATAATATGAAACACCTCAAAAGATAGCATAAAATATGATTAGAGTAATACAACAAGTACTAGCTAGGAAGAAGTTACAAAACAAGCAGATAAGTATATATATATAACAAGTATTACTCTATTAGGTTTAACTTAAAAATAAACTTGTCTTAAAGGAGTTAGTAAGCCTAAAGTAGAATATAAGATCTATTAAGTAGATAGCAAAATCTACTTCTTTATAGTGAGCAAGACCCAGAGTTAGAGTTTGAAATTAGATTATAGTTAGAGAGTTTAAATAAATAATCTTATAATCAGATTATAGGTATAGCAGATAGTATAGAATCTTTAATTAGGTAAACTACTTAAATTAGATACTAAAAGTAAATATATAGCTTACTGTAACTAAAATTAAACTCTAATAATTCTTTAGGCCAAAGAAATTACTTTAACACCAAAAAAAAAAGTAGTTGTATTATTACACTTCCAAGCTAATTTGTAACTAAAAATACTGAGTTCAAATCCTATTAGAAATAGTTTGATCAAAAATACTTGTATTATAGTAACAAATCTTCATTAATAAATCAAGTTCTATTATCTATAAATTTAATTACCTAGTATTATTTGTATGTAAAAGATTCTAGAAGTATTTATATAATATTTGTATTATATAAAGAAATATAAACTAGTATAAGCAGCACAAACTTATAATAAGACTTTTATAATAATATAAAACCAATACAGAGGATCTAAAGATTAGTTACTAGCTTGGCAAGCTCTAAGTAATAAAGTAGTAAGGTCTTTAATAGTACTACAAAATAGATTCAGATTTAACTAAAAAACTAGTAGATATAATCTTATTAAGAGAATTTACTAACTTGGCTACCAGAGACATACTAGAGAAAAAAAACATGTGCTCTGAAAATATATATCAAGAGAAGAAAATCTATAAGATACTTAAAGCCTGAAAAGCTAAACCAACTAGATTGGAAGAAATCAAAGACTCAGATACCAAAAGTGTATATATAACTAGTTGTACTCTTATTTGTAATTTTGAAATAATTATTTTTAATAAATTAGACAATGTCTTGGCCAAAGAAAGTTATCCTAAAAAAATTTTAGAATATGTTTTAAATATACTGTTAAATATATAAAATATACCTTATATTATTAATTTTTTTAATTTTATCAAAATTTCAAGCAAATTTGTCCAAAAACAGTTTAAGAGTTAATAATAAGATAATAATATATATATGTTAATATTATAATTTTTATTTAAAAATTTATCACTAAGGCTTCATAATATTAAGATATTATAAAAATAAACTAAAATTAACTACTATGTGTAAGTAAATATGTTTAAATAAGATCAATTATCTATAATTAATATATATATTGATTTTAATATTAATAAAAATTAAATACATAATTTTTGATTAATTATTATTTTCAATAGTTTTATTTGCATAAGCACGAACCCAATAATAATAAGCATCATGTTCAGCTAATTCTTTTTCTGATATTTTGACCAACTCATCAAATTTTTCATTAGAAATTTGCAATTTTTTTGTTAAAAAAGGTTTAAAAGAATTTGCTACAAAAACTATATTATCGATAATCTGTAAATTTATATAATTTTAAAAACTTTTTAAAGAATATTTTATTAAAATAATTCGGGTGTATACAATACATACCGCTTTACTAAGTTCAATATTGTTGTGTTTTATACCATAATAGACCTTTTTTACTTCTTTTTTAATATTTTCTAATTGACCTAATTTAGA